TACGAAGGAAGCTCAAGCGCCGGCCCTCTCGTGGAAGCCTACTGCTCATTGTGCGGGATATTAACACGGAGAAGCAGCTCTGTCAAGTGCTCAGGTGGTGCAAGTGCATAGGTGCAGCCAGAATGAGCTGCACATTCCAAGGTGCTCCGGGGCTCGAAGTGGATGCTTGGTCGAGCATGCAGGCAGCTGGGCTTAACTGTGACGTGGTCTTGGGATGTGGCATGTCCGTGTGTGTGCCTGGCAGACGGACCGACTCCACGAGATGATGGCGAAGTGCGTGCGCTCCAAACAAGCAGCTGGGAGGACTAATGTTGTGAGCTGGACTGCAGCACTTTTCCCCACCACTTCGTGCCAGGAGTTCCACATCCTCCAGCGTGAAGCCGGACAACCTGGACACACAGTTGACCGACAGTCAGCTGCGTCTCTTTGAGGCCGAGTTGGAGGATTGCCTGGAGGAATTCGAGGCCTGCTCTCATGCGCAGTTGACTCCACTCGTGTGGGTAGCATGGTCTTTGGACGAGGATTCCCAAGACGTGGCTGAAGCCCAAGAGGCATCTCCAGCAGATGAGGACTCCGAATTGTCTGTGCCATGTTCTGCACCCCCCGAAAGCCCCATATGCTTCGTGCTTGGTGTAGTGGTGGATCTCAGAAATGCTATGCTACACCCATCATTTTGGTCCTCTCTGCTCCTGTATAGATCTTATAAGAACTGACATGTAGCTCCCGGCCCCCTCTTATACAGTTCTTAGACTAAATGACAGTTCCGGTTTTGAGTCATTTCCCTATGTCGAATATCATATGCCGCAATCTGGGTTTGGTAAATGACAGGACATGGCTGATGAAGTAGAGGAAGAAAAGGAGGATCGGCCCGATGCACAGGGAGAGCCTTCTGGTGAGGAGGCAAGCTAGACTTAACGGAACAATCATAAACCCAAAACCCTAAACCCCTAAACCCTAAACCCTAAACCCATATATTCCATTAATACTGAGCATGTACAGGAAGAGGCCGGTCAAGACGAGGATGGACAAGATTCTTGCCCCGAAGCAAAGCCTTCGGATGAGGAGGCAAGCAAATGGCTGTACGTTCTCCTTTTCCAGTATATAGCCATGACAGGAAGAGGGTGATGAAGTGGAGCATGACACAGACGATTGCCCCGATGCGAAGGAAGAGCTTTCGGATAAGGAGGCTGGCGCGTGTGTTTTGATTTGTCATATTCCACTGTATTGCACATGCAACAGGAAGCCGATGAAGTGGAGGATGAAAAAGACGATTGCCCCGATGCCGAGGGAGAGCCTTCGGAGGAGGAGGCAAGCAGGTGGGTTTACATGTCATATGATTATCATTTCGACCACAGGACCGGTGTGGTGAAGTGAACGACGAAGACAGCAAGTGCCCCGAAGCCGATGCAGAACAAGAACCTACTGATGAGGAGGCAAGCCAATGGGTTGACATTAATATATTTCGATGCATGAAGCAATTCTAATCTATG